ATTTATAAAACCAGGGGCAACCAAAGGCAGCCCAGAAGTGGATGGCCACCCCAGGTCTCTGAGATTGCTTCAGCTGTACTTAGAGCTACCTAAAACCAAAGTTCACAGATTACATAACACTGAAGCTGGTAGGGTATGCTGAGCCCAGATGTGCATTTAATGAAATAACCTCAACTGCACGTCCCACAAGTAACAGGAAATATCAAATTTCAGCAACTCAGGGTGCAAGGAGTCTCACAGTTGCCAGGTGACTTTTTAAACCCCCCAAGGGTTAGTTTCCAGCTGTGCGCAACTTGGTGCATCTGTGTGAGCACTGGCAAGGACCCCATGCCTGCTGCCTGCACCCATGGCAGAGGTGGAACGGGTCCCAGCTAGTTTTGGCAGGTCTTACTTAAGCCCCTGGGATGCCTGCAGGTATCCTCAGTTAAATAGGGTAGATGTAGGAGGGGGAATAGAACAACAATTTCATTTATTCCTCTGGAAAAAAAGCATAATTTAAACAATGACCTTGAGGCCTATTTTATGAGAAATCTCCACTGACAAGAGGTTCTGCAAATTAGTGATTCTGTGTTTGAGCAAGGTTTCTGGCCTCAGAGTCTGTAAGCAATTCCAGGTCCCTTAACCCCGAGAGTCTGTCCTTAACTCAGGAAAGCAAGGAAAGTTGAAACCAGAGCTCAAGATGCTTGTAGAATAAGAATTTGTGGTGTTGACTTTAGCCCTGCCAAGGAGGTGTTAAGCTAAGTGGCCACTGAAGTTTCTGCTTGTGCATCTGGAGTTGGGGTTTGATACTTCTCCTGAGGCCAGTGGCAGACAGAGGTGGCAAATGAAACCCGACCGTGCCACACGCAGCGACCAGGAGATCCCACACTGGGTGAAACAACACTGGGGAGTRTAAGGAAATCAGTTTGTTTTCTGTGTTATATGGCGATGTACTGCTCTTAAGGATACTTTCCCTTCAGATTTTCTTGCTGTAAATGGGGACAGAGTTGAGGGAGGAGACTCAGAACTTCAGTGGATCATCTTTTACCCACCACCTAGTGTCACTTTCTTYAGGGTGTACTAGATAATACCATTTACAGAGTTTTAGCACCTTGTAAAATTATAGGTAGTTTTCTGGTACTAGTAGGAGTTAGTACTGGGTAAATATTCAATATGTTAGTATTCTGTTAGAGTGTTACCATATCAGTGCAGTGAACAAAAACCCCAACAAGAACAATTTAGAGAAGGAAAAGTTTATTTTGGGCTCACAGTTTCAGAGGTTTAGTCTGTGGTGGGCCAACTCTGTGGCTTTGGGCCTGAGGTGAAGCAGAACATCATGGCAGAAGGATGTGGTAGTGGAAACCTGCCCTGCTCATGGCAGCCAGGAAGCAGAGAGAGCAGATGAGAAGGGGTTCAGAAGATGAACCCTTCTAGGKCACATCCCCAGTGATCCACCTCCTCAGCCATGTCACCCTCCGCCTCTAGCTTAGTTAGCTTCTATTTAGTCCATTCAAACTAGGATGAACTAATCAGGTTTGCAGCTATCATAATCCAATCATTCCACCTCCAAATATTCCAGCATTAACACAGGAGCATTTGGGAGACACCTCATATCCAAACCATATAGTTAACAATGACTATTACCATCATCATCATTGTCTTCATCATCATCCAACAACAATGACAGCAATAATTGTAGCAAGGGTAGCTGCACCAGTAGTTAGTATTTATTTAGCATCTGCTACATATCTAAACTTTGTGTGGGTTTTTCCATTTGATCTCATTTGAATCTCATGGCCTTCTCATAGCTGTGCAATCTCAACTTTAACAAATGAAGGATAGGAAAGTCAGATAAATTAAAAGCATGAGTTCAGCTAACTCCTTCTTCTTTGAGATGCCAAGACTCAGACTTCTCAGTGTTCTATTCTGTGTTCTCTCTTAACTGTATTTTTACTCATTTGGGAGGTTTGCTTCAAAATATACATTGGATTTTTCCAATTTCCTTCTTTATATTCAGGARTGGAGACTTCTCTTTGAAAGCTGTTGTATTTGCTTACCTTTAAAAACATCTGCATTTATGAAGTCACTTCAGTCTCTGGGGTTACAAATCGTATGTTCTCCCCTATGCTGAGAGTATGGAGACCTGACTCATTGGCTGCACTATTTCTCTTTGCTATGAAATTAATATTTATGCATGCTTTCCTTCTTTCTCCTACCACTGTCCCTTTCTCTGTTAGTACCCTCTGCTCTCAATCACTGTTCCCCTCCTCTGCTCTACCCTTCAGATCTCACGTTAGTACACAGATCTCTTCTTCATTCATCTCATCTTGTGTAAATGAAAAGCTCCACCTTCACAGTCCCTCTTCCACAGTTCTTTCCTCATTCTGGGTTTCAAATTTATCCAAACTTAGAGGTCCTTAACATTTATCTCTTCTTCATAAGATGCTAATATGGTAGATCTCAACTTCTAATCTTTTGGAGGAACATGTTCTTCTAGAAAAGCACTGCATTTGAATTCTATTACAAGTTGCTAGCTTTGAGTCACCAAAGTCTGAGTTGGAAATTTGGATGGAGGGGTTAATGGCTGTTTCCAACCCCTATTTATTGACTGAATTCTGGCATCCACACGATCCCAGCTGCACAGGTTTTGAGCCTTAATGTTATTTCTCATACTTCTGGCATTTCTTTCCCATGTTGGTAATCAGCCATCAAGTCTAGCTGATTGTCTCTTTCTGTTGTTTTCCTAATAAATAATTTCTTTCTCATTCCCACGACAGCCAGACCCTCATCCTATTGCCGGCAACTCACCCCGTCTACTCTCCTTCAGCTCTTTTCGCATCCCACTGTCAGAACCCAAACTTGGCTTTCACAAGAGCCTCCTCCATCTTCCTTTTCTGTTGCAGTTTTCCCAACGTTTGTTTTATAAAACACTAGAGCTGAGGGATAGTTTTGAGTAATATTTTCAAAACAAGGTCCTATGATTAAATACATTAGGGAAATGCTGGGTCAAGTAAACTTAAATATGGGTCCTTGCTGCAGAATCCTCAGGGCCCTTTCCATGCCAGTGGGCATGAKAAACTTTTAGGAGGGTGATGGAGTAGAAAGTGCCTCCCAAACTAATTTGAGCTGCAGAGCTTTTAAAATTTATACTTMTTTTGGCAGTGCAACAGGCAGGATTGATGTTTCATAGGAAACACGTTAAGAAATGGTGGTTCTTTGGAATATATTTAAACTTCTCAGGCTGGCCATAAATCTCAGGCCAACTTATTTAGACAGCATGAGTACCTGACATACACTAAAGGTCTACAACTCCCAACTCTGGTCAGACTGGTCTCCTCTTGCTCTTGTACAAACTCTCTTCCTTTCTATGTCTGTGACTTACATTCTTCTTTTGGTTTAGAAGGCTAACTTCATTTTAGCTCCTAATTGATACTTCATATGTCTTTATAGACTAGTTCAACTCACATTACATCTTCAATGTGTCTATTATAGTCTTATTCAACCTTACCTTWCCCAGCCATAGATATCTATTTGCTGGATTTGCATAACACTTAAAATGTATTTTTCATAATACAACTAATAATGGGCTTCTACCTGCAAGGTGATTGTCCTTGAATACATGTTATCCATGAACAAAATGAGGTATACAGGGAGTTGGTACATGATTTAACAGTCAGTACATGGCAAGACCAGGATTCAAACAAAAGACTATCTTTAAAACAATAAACTCAATGTTGGCAGTGCTCAAGGGGGGATTTAATTCTGTAAGCCAGTTTAATTTAGAGATGTGAAATCTAACTCTAGCTCAGTTACACAGCTTTCTTAATTGATAAATACAAAGTTCTGGTGCAAAGAGAAAGAAATTTTAAGCTAAGCATGGTGGCATATACCTGCAATCCCCAGTAACTCAGGAGGCTGAGGCYGAAGGATCACAAATTTGAAGCTAGCCAGTCTCAAAAAATGAAAAGGGGACTGGGGACGTAGTTCAGTGATGAAGCTCCCCTGGGTTCTATCCCCAGTACTGGGGATAAAAGGAGAATTTAAGGTCAGAACTTGGATGATGAGGGTGGAAAAATACATCTTCCATAACAAGTTTATATTAATACTTGCTGAGATTTTAGCATTCTAGAAGGTGCTCTTGGAGCTCACGGATAAAAGGCTGAAACTCGCCCTGACCTTAGGGTTTATAGTTGGAAAGAAGAGATAGGAGCACTGTATAATAGTTTATAATTAACTGCTAGATACATATTCTTAATTTGAAAATCATGGACTCCTCAGGGGTCACAGATCAGGCTTGGGACAGAGTGTCTATAAATCTCTTCACTTGAGGGGATATACTCATGTGCATTTGGGGGAATGAATGTCTAAACATTTCTTCAGATTCTCAAAGAGCTCTGGGACTTCCAACTTGTTAACAACAACAACTGCAGAGGATGCTGGGGCATAGATTGTGTGGAAGCATCAAGTCACAGTGGGGAAGGTACCAGTCTTGGGCCAGAGAGACTGGGTTGGCTGAGTGATAATGGGCCATAAAGCACCCTTCCTAAACTCATGGCTGAGAAATTAAGGTAATAATATATAGTGTGCAGAGATATAGWGAGGATGAAAGGAGGTACTGAAAATGCAGAAAGCGCCCCGGCATGGTACCTGGCATAGACCCATTGCTTTACACTAGATGCCATAGCTATTGCTAAGGTCCCCAGTGGCTTCTGTAAAAAATTAACACAAACTTGATGGCTGAAACAACACACAGTTATTATCTTACATGTTCTAGAGGTCAGAAGTCAGAAAGAGTCTCAAAAAGTTAAAACAAGGTGTTTGGCAAGACTGTGTTCCTTCATTTTCCAGTTTGTACAGGCTCCCCATTTTCTTTGGCTCCTGGCCCCATCCTCCATCATCAAAGCTAGCGTGGAATAGGTTTTATACTGTATCACTGTGACACTTATGTTCCTGCCTTCCTCTTTCTCTATKGATCCTTGTGATTGCTTTCATCCCTCTCAGATCATCCAGGATAAGCTCCCTGATAAAGGTCAGCTAATGGGCAGCCTTGATTCCATCTTTAGACTTCATTTTGTCTTGCCATTTACATTATACATCCATCGGTTCTGGGCATTAGGATGTGGATATCTTTGGGGAACCATTACTCTGCCTATCACACTTGCCATTTTACGAATTAGAGATAATTTCTCTTCCTGCTTTTTGATTCTTACAATACATTTTAGTGAGGTAGGTTTTCTCTGTTCATCAGGAAAAAAAAGTCACATTTACAGAGAGGGGAATGATATTGCTGCCCATGTATTTGAATTCATGGATTTGAATTTCTTAGTACACTCTCTCGGCACCAGATGTAGCTTTGCATAATATTTCCCAATTTTCATATTTTTTTCTAATAATCTCTTTGTTCTGAAAGTATTCATAAAGTATTCAATTAATTGATTAAGCAAATTTCTGTTGGTCACCTTACGTGTGTGTATTTTAATAAATTCAGTGTAGGCGATTTATTTTTTCACCAAAATTAATTATGAATTAATGCATTAATTCAACAGACATTTATTGAGACCTGATATGTAGTACCACAGGCATTTTTATTTTATATATAAACAAATATATATCCTCCTATGTGGAAGTATATACAAAATTTACATGGAAGGAGTTCAAGGTCTGACTGAGGAGTTAGGAATACATTATAAATATAAGCAAGAGTGGAAAGTGATCTATCATAGGCAGATGCTGGGTTTGGTGACTTTATTTTGGACTCCCAAATGAAAAAAACATAGTATAACTTCAAATACACTATTAGAAATTAACCATCCCAGAATATCTCAGCTATCGATCAGTTTTGCTTTGGGAATTTAGAGGAAGGAGATGACCTTAACTGAGGCATCAGGGAGGTGGCTACGGGGGATCTGGTGTTGGAGCTGAGGGCCGAAGGACTTGTGTTTGTGTGAACTGTGAGGAAGTGCTGGGAGGGCACAGGCCCACTGGGCTGAGGTGAGAGGTAGGAAGCACTGGGCTCCACTGGGGGAGGTGCTGGCACTCCAGGCTTTGAATCTGGATTTATTTTAATTTAGACCTTTGAGGTTAGGGATTGTTTCCTTTGTTTGCTCTTTTGTTTAGAGTTGGTGAGTATATGGGGTTATGGAAATATGTGAAAACAAATTTATATACTAAATGAAATACCTATGTGACTTTTTGAAGAATCAGCATTTCATATGCAGACCAGTTACTATTTCTGGCAGATTATGGATGGGTGGAAAGAGAACTACCATTCCTTTCCCTGTCCCCAGCCCCCAAACACACAGTAAAATTAGATGAAGCTGCGGGGGGGGGGGGGGTTGGCCGGTGGTGCACACCTATAATCCCAGCAGCTCAGGAGGCTAAGACAGGAGGATGGTGAGTTCAAAGTCAGCCTCAGCCAAAGAGAGGTGCTTAGCAAATCAGTCAGACTCTGTCTCTAAGTAAAATACAAAGTAGAGCTGGGAATGTGACTCAGTGGTCAAATGCCTCTGAGTCCAATCCCCAGTACCCTCCCTGCAAAAATTTAAATGAAGTTCTAGATTTACGAATCTAAGAATATAAGTCTTATCGGCATCCAGGTGCCACCTAATGRAGCATCTGTTGGAACTTCAGCACCTTGTGGGCCAACAGCTGTTGGTGACACCCCAAAGAAGGGCCAGAGCTCCTGCATGGAGAACTTCAGGTCCWGCCTCTTTCTACTTTTTCCATCACCATTCAGGGGAAAGCTCAGCAAGGAGAAGAAAGGTCCATGTCACAGGCAGTG